TCCAATCTTTCAAATCCCATTATCTCAAGCCTATTGTATCTATTTAACAAATAGACTTCATGTTGCGTGCGTCCGTTCAGTAATAGATCACAGATGACGTCAAACATCGGTGATACACGTGTGCCACGTCTTTGTTTTTACCACATTTTGACGTCATCTGTGATCTAGACGCAAGGTAACATGGAATCTATTTGTTAAATAGATCATGGGCAATTACCTATCACGGTGCGTACATTCACATCATTGTATAATGCATAAGAAATACACAAAAGGAAGGTAATGGGAATCCGGTGCATTTTATCAATGACATCATGACAGAAGGCCATGACGTCATTTGCGTTAATGTTTTCCACTTCAAACTAATGAGATTTCACTTCAAAAATCAGATACTTCGGTCTCCATTGTACTATTAAAGAAAAAATAACTATACTGTATGTATATATACACAAATTCAAGTTTAAAAGTAATTTGACAGTTGTTTTTTCGTTCCTTTTGTCGTTGTTGTCACGATGCTCGACTCCTTACTCATTATTCGATGACTGATGTTCTGATCCTGGATTTGCGCAAAAATCGGGTTTTAGGAAAGGAGACTAAAGTTTACTCCAAGCTGTACACTGTCAATGTACATTTAAACTGTACGGCTGGCCTTTTCTAACTAGTCTGCGAAAACATCCGTTTCTCCTCGCTCTTCGCCGCAAGGGACGTTTCGCGCGAAACGTCCCCAGCGGCGAAGAGCGAGGAGAAACGGATGTTTTCGCAGGCTATTTTCTAACATCCTTTTTCTTTTAATGTGTAATTTAGCGTGCAGGGACGTGAACTAGCGTGGAAATTTGTCCAGGACAACTGGGTTGAACTGTATAATCGCTATGAAGGCGGATTTTTATTGTCTCGGCTAATCAAGGTACAGTATATCGACACTTCCTGACCCATTTTTTTCTTGGGAATTGAAAATTCTACAACTTTTTCTTGAGTGATCATAGGTTACAAGTTGTCCCTTTCCACGGGAAAAATAAGGTCAACAAAATTTGCCGCCAGCGCGAGTGAAAATCACGCTACGCGCGCACTGGCTAATTTCTCTCGCTCTATCAACCCTCCAGCACCGAGTCACTACTCACCACTAAGCCTTGGGATGCCTGTGGAGGACTGTGCAGCTTTTCATTTATTGCTGTTATAAGACGTCAAATGTGAGATATCAAAACATCAACTACAACTCGTCACCTCTTAATTTTAATCGCGAATACTCAAATCCATATTACCTCCTTTTGAAAATGATAAGACCCGCAGAGTTCTTGTTGGAATCAATTCTTGTTGAAGGGAATTGTGCATAAAGCCGGAGTTGAACTTCGCTGGTGCCGACGGCTATTGAAGTCTTCTACCAAATTATTTCTCCCCTTCTTGTATAACTACTGTAACGTAAAAGAGTGTTCAAGTTTTGTCATGTGAAATTCTTTTTCATTTGCAGTCTACCACGGAAAACTTTGTCACAGAACAGTCTGCTAAAGATGTTGAGGTAAGGGAATTCTTAAAATTAACTTCTGACCATTTGCGTTTGAATTTTTCGGTACACATTTTAGAACTGCGGAATAGGACAATCCAATACGCTATCTTGTGCGACACTTTCTACTCGAAATGAGAAACCCTGTTGCTGAATATTTTTCAACTGATGCATTTGACAGATCAGAGGTTTGATTAAAGCTCATTTCTTTGCCGCAAATTTTTAGTAGATCCTCAAATTTCAATCGCACTTTCTTGTCTTCGTCAATTCATTTCCGAACTGTTTTCTCTTCCTAATTCTAATGTCGAAAGTAGTCAATTCAGTCTCGTCTGAATATTTTACTCCCGACTCCAGATCCAGTCTTTTCATTTTTAGGATCTTTTCTTCCTCCACCCCTGCCTCTTCCGCCGAGGCCCCCTTGCTTCGAAGGGAAGCTGGGGAGAGGGGAAAATGAAAGCGCGCGGGGAACGATGGGAAGGGAAAAGAGAGCAAGGGAGGCTCCCGCCTTTTTCCTCTTCCCATTGTTCGCCGCGCACTTGCTGGCATTTTCTATCCCAAAATTCTCCAAATCTTAACTCACTTATCCTTCCCAATTTTTTCATCGCCTCAGTTATCTGTAACTTATTTGTAAATCGGGTAACAAAAGGTTTTCTTTTTTCACCAGGAATTTTTCTCCAAACGCTCCGTCCCTGCTGCAGAAAGGACCATTCAACAATCTTTGGAAAATATCCGCCTGAACTGCACGTGGCTATCACGTGAATCCAACAAGATCAGCACGTGGCTGAAGGAGAAAGGATATTAGGAAACTGCTGAGAATTTAATTTAGGCCTCTTTTTTTCCGTTCCATTTTTTTTTTAAGAGAAAACACTTTAGGAACGTTAAATTAACTTTTGCGAAACAGATTGAATTAAACTCGGTCATTAAAAATGCTCTCTAGGCGAATAACATGCAGTTTCTGTTCCCATGTCCTATAAATGAAAACAAATCAACTTCTCGTTATAGTTCATGTGATCTTTTCTAACCTGCGATGCGACGTCTTTTTTTCTTTCTTTTTTTTTTTGAGAAGAGAGGGAAAAAAAACCTTCCCGCGAAAGACGTGACAAATATACAGAGAGGGCATGATCGCAGGCTAGATCTTCGCAAAAGATTGGTTCCTTTGACGTTTTAGAAATGAAGAGTGCACTCGAGAATTTTGCGCTCTCGGCGTTGTAAGTCCAGCTTTGCAATGCTAGTGTACTATCTTCATGCAGGATCGTTTATTACTCATCTTAGAAAGCCCTTCAAATTTTGAAAAACTTAAAGGACAAACAGAATGTACACAGTTTGAAATTCAACTCACCCTTATTCTTCAGAATATTGCTGGTTTTCAGTGTCACGCCATTCAAAATAGATCAAAATAAACATCAAAACCGCTCAATAGATAAAATCCAGAGTCTCGGAAATGAAAGGAGGTACATACACAAAGACCCTCGCCAAGATTCAGGTCAGAGGTATTTCGTATACAGGACATCCGAAGAAATACTTTACCCAAACTTGTAGGGATTTGTATGGAGAGGCCATGCTGGTGCTCACCTGGATGAGCTCCAACATAGTGGACGGAAACCATCAGAAACATCTGTTACCGAGTTTTGCTACAAAAGCGTGAATTTATTCTTCGAGAAACTCATAAACATTAAATTAATACTTTTTCTAATACATGAACTGTTAAGATAGCAAAATTTCCTGAAATAAGTCATTTTTTTGAACCTACATGACAGCTCTCTTGGCCGTCATGTAAATGCCGCGTCACGCAAAAGTTTAGAAATTCAAGCGTACTCTATCAGAAAACCAAGAACCCTTTTGAAGCGAAAATTTGTATGAAAATTAGTTTTCAGCTGCTCTAATGTATCGTGAAAGTAAAATCTGGGTAGGATCGATAGTTTTTTAGTTTGAATTTTAATGACGTCATGAGAAAACCAACAATAGAGCAAGTATGATAAACCAGTTAAATTGTAAGTGGTTTCCTAACAAAATATTTCATCTCGCACGCTTGGAGTCGATAATGTAGTCAAGTGATAACATTCTGTCGCTGCTGAGCCTGCAAACTAAAAGTAAGACTTTTCGAAAGACTTCTTTGACTCTACTTTTGCTTAGTCTTTCCAGGAGTGAGGGGTTTACAGAAGATAAAGGGAACAACGTTTTTGTTAACTTATTCGCACATATATTTGTTCCCCATACATTGCTCCCTCGTGACTCCCAAGAGTTAAACCTAGTTCTGATTCTAACTCTTTAGAGAATAAAATGTCACTTGACTTATTAATCAGATTTTGGCGTTTTGTGTTGTAATATTCTGTCGCCTCACTTTGGAAGGATGTCTGTAAAACCAAGAACAGGCCCGGAACACCCCCGGAAGATGAGGGTGCTCCGGGGTTTTCCAGTCTGTCAAGGGGTGTTCCGGGCCTGTTCCTTGTTTTACAGACATTCATTGTGAAATATCTTGTAATCCTTCCCATAAATAACGCCCTATGTATTGAAATACAGTTTAACCTCCATGTATGACAACTTCTCGTATACGACCACCTATCTAACATGCCAAACTTTGAAAAAGAAAAGTGAAAGTGCCGTGAGACGGGACATACAGTTTTTCATTCATATCCGAGAGGACAAGAAAGTCTAACCGATTACAGATGTCATTTCAAAGGCAGCACTTTCTTCTCAGTTATTCACGACCCTGAATGTTGGTCCGGCAGGGGTTTGAACCTACGACGCCCTAGCCTCCCACCCAGACGTTCTTAGGGGTTCGTCACGCTTGGGGCAGGAACGCGTGACAGAGTCCTCAGAACGTCTGCGTGGGAGGCTAACGACACCCGACCCAGCAGACCTGGGGGAACTCCCAACTAAGCTAACCAGGCCGCGTTAAAGTCACACTGGCCACCCAGGTCTAGCTGACAGATTTAAATAATGTCTTGAGCCGTGTCCACACGTGTCCGCCCACATGTATACGGATATTATTGAAACTACACTTTTTCTCAGTTATAGATAAATTTCTGGCCATTTCAGGACACTTCAATTTTCTCGAGGATCCCGAATCCCCTCTCGTACACACACCCTTACTGTTTCTGATTAGTCCCCCCGCCAATCTCAACTTTGACACTGACACATTTAAGATTTTCACTCAGTGGCAAATAAAGTAGTTTCAAACCCAAGAACCAATTACCTCCCCGCCCTAATGTTTCAGCACTCCTCAGAAATGCAGGTATGAGCCTTGTTATGTGGTCAGCAGTAAGAAAAAGCCTACCAAAATCTCCGGGAAAATATCGATAAACCCGAGAAAAAGTCGTCGGAAAAAAAATCGAGGAAAAAGTCCGGAAAACAGTCGACAAAAAGGAGATTCGAGCTCTAAATTTGCACGGCACTATAACATCGAGCTCCGTGCCTTTGCCACCCTGGTTATTTTTCTTCGGTGACTTCTCCAGTGTCGTCACCAGACCAGTCACGCAACTGCAACCAGTGAATCTGAGAAGGACTGGAAGCAGGAGGAACTGTTCGTTCTGCCCATGGTTGCACGGGCTCGTTTCGCAACATTTAACATTCTTTTTCGCGCTGTTATTAGTCCATTGAAAGTTCTAAGATCCGGGTCACTTAAATTTAGTCTCAGTTCTTGTGTACAGATTATGTGTTCCACAAAGAAATCCTTCGAACGACTTCCAATCAACGTGGTTCCAAAGAACTATGCGCTGACTCTTCAACCAAATCTGACGGAATTCTCCTTTACTGGTAAAGAAGTAATAGAAGTAGAGGTGAGTATTCGTATTTTCCATTTGTTTTCGACGCAAACGCATAGTTATAGCTATATTTTTTTGTAATGAATGGTAATTGAAAGGCGTTCTTATGATTTGTTAAATTAGCCACAGGCATCCCAACATAGTAGCTATGGAGAAACATTAAATTAACTTAACAAATTTTGTTAATTTTATGTTTTCAAGGTTAAGGAGGAAACTGATAAAGTGATCATCAACTGCTTGGATATAACTGTCAAGTCAGCCTCTTTCAGTGCTGGAGATTCAAGTCAGTTTGTGTGTTATAGAGGTGGAATTTTCCACTGTCACATAAATTTTTTGTGCATACACAAATAAACTGTATGTACATAAATAAAATAGAGGTAGTGTTTGGAGGGTCTTGTATAAATGTAAAAGTTGAATCTCTCAAAAGTTCAGAGAGATTCAATTTTTACATTTACAT